GATTATAATTTTAATTAGTTCCCAATTGGGAAGTAATTAGAAATATATAAAAAATTGTAGATCCCGATTATATTGTTATTATATATCCGTCCTTTAAGTTAATATATTTAATTAACTTTTTTGTTTTAGTTAATATATTAAGATTAACTAGATCGGCATTAGTTAGTAGGGCTAGGGTTAGGGCTAGGGTTAGGGCTATATTAAAGAGTTGAGAAGAGCTAAGTAATGTTGCGGCCAGAGGGGGGGTATAGAGAAATTCCGATTTTTTAGCAGGTTAGGGTTAGGGTACCCTCGTTGGTTGAGGGCAATGAGTTTCGGAAGGTTTTTTATGTTAAAAAACTCCTGTGTATGTATCCCCGGCTAGGATTTATGTTAGAAAAAACGAAAGTTTAAAAAGCAAAAAACTTAAGGAAAGATTTTTTTTCGATTTTTTTTTTTATAAAGTCCCACTCAGGAGAGAGATTTTATTATTATTTTTTGTTTTATGATAGGAGAAAAATACATGTTTAAATAAAAATTCGCTTTTGCGAATTTTGTTATAAAACTCATTTAACCATTACTTATCTAAGCTATTCTAAGTTATTAATGAATTTTAACAAAGAAAAAAAGCAATTTGTCTAAAAAAAAGCTTACAAGGCGAAGATAATACAAAGTTAATTTTGTACTGCATACTATCGTTTTACTAAAAAAAGAATGATTATAACATTTTGTTTATCCGTCGGCAATTATTTTATCCATCGGGGATTCCGTTTTTGGATAGTCCTTACATTAGGGTAAGCGTAGCGAAGATATAGTGTTTGGCTGTAGAAGGTCCATTTGATATTATCTTGTAGACTTCTTCCGTATGCTTTTACTATTATTTTGCTGTTGCTGTCTCTGTTAGCTAAGACGTTTATCCGTTGGAGTTACCTTTGGTGTCCGTTGGTGTAAAATGTTAATTTTTATACGATAGTGTTTAGTCGGAATTGTAATGGCGGCGATACTTGTAAGCTGCTTCTCTTTATTTTGGGTTAGGGTTATATTAAAGAGTTGAGAAGAGCTAAGTAATGTTGCGGCCAGAGGGGGG